GCACAGCCCGACACGGAAGGCTAGTCAGGGGGTCACCCCCTTCCTGCCACCTCCTTTTTGAGGGTGCTCAGAGCCCTCTCAGTGCTGAAGAGCAAAACAGAGCAGGGCGCAGGGATCTGGGACTCAGCTAGTCACAGACTTTTAAAGGTGCCAAAGCTGGGCTGTCATTATTACACAAAGTAGGAAAATGTAAGACAGTGGGTGGGGAGGGGAGAGAAGAAGACAGAAGGTTAGTGAATGCTCATTAAAAATAAATGTATGGCTCTAGGTCAAGTCTTCCCGTGGTCCTGCCTGAGCTGCACACAGGGTCCTGCAAGCGACGGGGGCTGAGCCCGCACACCCCCGTCGGCTCATCTTTCCTCCGAGACCAGCTCCACTAAAACCCTAGGATGTTCGGGAGTCCAGCAGGAAGTCCAGGAGCAGCCGTTCTACCGCCAGCCAGCCGGCCGGGTGCTTCCCCTACCACCGGGCCTTCTGGTGAGGGGAGGCCAGGAGCGCTTTTCCAGAGGGCGGGGCAGCTGCAGACCCGCGCGGGCTCTGAAGCAGCACATCCGCGCAGGGCCCTTTCCCTTGGCCTGACGCCGGCGCGGCCTTTCACTGCGTCTGCGTGGGGCACGAAGGGCCTGCCCTGAAACAAAGTTTCGGCCCAGGGTTCTGAGTTATTCGTGGGAAGTTTCAAAGAAAATATTATGAAAATGTGAGGTTTGGGCATCTATCTGCCCTGGAGGACTTTTGGAGACTGTCCTCCCGGTGACCACTGTATGGAGAGGGGGAATCTCTCCAGTAGCTGCTCTGCGCCGCCCGGTCAGCATCCTGGTCTAACCTTCAGTACTTCCTAGAAGCCCTGATACAGATGAGGAAATTCAAGGCCAGAGAGACAGTTGACTAGTCTCAGGTCACACGGGGAGAAAGCAGAAAGGTCAGGTCAAGGTCAAGGCTTCCCAGGTCAGCCCCTTCTGCTCCTGCAGAGATGGGGAGGCTGCCCACTGGGCCTGTTTCACAGTAACTTCAGAAGTCCCCCTCTTGAGACCTCACACCCCGAGTTTACCCTGGAATAACGGTTCTGCTGACCTCCCGGAGAAGCGGAGGAATCAAAACACACAGAGGGCCCTGGGTTTGTGCAAATACACAGTTCCTGTGATGACAGCAGATTGAGCTGTTTCTCTCAGACGCGGCGCCCAGGCAGCTCCCTGACCTCTCCGCTGTGCTGGTCTGACAGCAGCAATATGTCCCAGGGGACTAATCAGCACTAAGTACTCAGGTCACTCCAAGGCCACTTAGGAGAACAGTGCAGAAGACAAAGCTGATGAGCTTTGTGGCTGAAGATGGGAGAAAGAAAGGAGTTAAGAGAAGGGAGCAAAACCATTTTTTTTTCTCAAGCTGTCTGCTTGAAGGGTTTTCATCAGAGAAATGCCACCAGCCCAATCTGCACAGCAAAGAAGTGAAATATTAAATAAAGAAGTAAAATTAAATCTCTTTCCTGCCAGTGTTACACTAGGAGCACACGACTGGGTTTGAACCCAAGTGAAGGGACCCTGAGGAAGCAGCAGAGGGACCGAGTTCAAACTTGGAGAACGGGGATCCAGCACCTCGAGTGCCCACCGCTCGCTGCCTGGGGATGGGGCCCGGCAACCGCACTGACTTCAGGGACGGGTCTTCCCAGTACCTGGGAGGCTGATTCCATCTCACCCACTGGACCACTGGTTTGTGACATGGACCCAACAGGGAGGCCAAGTGTGGATTGGAGATGCTCAGGAGTAAGTCTATTTTTTGGCCTGTGATTTATTAAGGTGCCCGTGGAGAGGTGTGGGGTTTTGTTGTTGTTGTTGTTGTTGTTTGTTTGTTTGTTTGTTTGTTTTTGTGGCAGTGGTGGGGAAACATAGCAGCCCGGGGGTATGTACCCAAAGAAAGCCCCCTCTCTCTGCCTTCCCTGTTGGTCAATCATCTCCTTCCTCCTCACAGGCACCTCCAGGAGTGCCGTCCAGGTAGAAACCACTTCCCCCACTTCACAGATAGAAAAACTGAGAACTGCACTGGAGAGGGGGCTGTTCTCACTGAGCTGGAGAGCTGGGGACACTGACGAGGAATGCAGGCTGAGGGACCAAAGGCCTGCCTGCCACCGCTGCCACCGTGCAGGCCCTTGTGCCCTCTCCCAGGCTCAGGCCCGAGTTCCCAGTGGAGTTGCAGGTGTAGACCGTCCGGTGCCACAGGGAACTGTGATGAGCTGGGCTCTGGGACAATGGAAAGGGGACTTGGAGTCACATCCACTGCCGTCTGAGCAGCAATTCCCTTCTCTTCTGCAAAAGCATCAGAACAATCCCTGCCGGGAGAGTCCTGAATCCCATGCCTACCTCGGCCAGCAGGCCTCAACAACGGTAACAAGGAGACTTCCATTTGTTGAGGGCTCCCTGGGGCCAGGCACACTCAGCTCTTCCTTTGGGCATGAAAGGGGCTTTGGCAGAGCTGGAGCAGCTGGGGGCTGGCTGTGCTGAGCCTTCCCCATACTTGGCTTCTTTTGCGGCATTCATGATGAGGGAAGGATGCACAGGAGCCAGTACAGAAATTGAACCCAAAAGTCTCTCAGGAAGGAGACTCCTAGGGAGAGGCCCGCAGTCACTGTGGAGCCCAGACTCAGTGATGTGAGCTGTGCATGGGAAACAGAAACTGTCCTACGAAGCTGCTCTGCTGTGTCCCATGTAAGAGATGTTTGTTTGCTCATCACGTCCCCACATGGCTGGGGGAGGGCTCTGGAGGGGCTTTCAGAAACCCAAACAGGCCTGTCAGCCCAACCCAGGACTCGAGAAAATGATTATGAACTCTCAAAGTCCTACTTAAAAGTGTGTGGCCACTGCTCCCACGAGCCGCCTGGCGGTTTGAGCCCAGTCCTGCCCTAGAGGAAACTTGGGGTCTCCAGGGGAAGCCTCTTAGAAATGGAAGTGCTGGGGAAAGAAGCTGCAAACACCTAAGTGAGAAATAGGCTTACAAAACCAGGGGGGCCAGGTTATGAATTGAGCCCTATGTACAGGACAGCAGCCTCAACGAAGCTAATCCGAAAGACAGGATCCTCGCTGTGGTTAAGGCACAGAGGATTTAGAACGTCAGCGGGGGCAGCCTTGAACCCTCTGAGCTTCAGTTTAGGCAATTCTCTTCTGTTTTATTAGCATGACACTAAACTAAAGGAGAAAGTCTCATTCTTTCTCCCGCTCAGCTTTATTTGTGTTTCCCCCGCCCCGGGGAGGAGGGTGGGGAGAGGGCCGGGGAACCCCTCTGGTTCCCCTACACTGAAAACTCAAGGACCCTCCGGCCGCCAGGGTCACTGTTCTCTCCCCAAACCAAGAGCTGTTTGCGTCTGAGCTCAGGGGAGTCCACGCATGATCTGATCCTGTTCCTAATTTAAAATAAAAATAAACGGTGTCCTTTTTCTTTCTATCTTTTATTCCCATTTGTTCTAATGAGTGCTTCTAGAATGAAAGTAGCGAAAACAAAATCAAGTCAGCCCAAGGAACTGCGACTTCCTCTTATGTCTCAAAGGATCTGGTCCATCGCGGTAAATTCGGGGTCCGAGAGCACCTGCTACTAACACCGCCAGAAAGGTCAGGAGAAAGTCGGGGGGCGACGGGGTGGAAGCGCTGGACCAGCCTGGCATGGGATCCCGCACCCGGCCAGCGCTCGGCCTTGGAGACCGTCCTGCTCCCGAGGCGGGGCGACGCCCGGCATTGTACCCGATTTGGCTAAAGACTAACGGGCGAAAACATAGTTCTGGACCCAGAAAGTGGTCCATGAGCGCGCGTGGCGCCCGAGCTCGGCTGAGCAAGGGGTGCTGGGGCAGCCCCGCTCCGTCCCCCTGCTCCGGGAAGGGCCGCGAGGTCTCCGACCCGCGCCCGCGGAGGGATGGCAATGGGGGGTTACTGCTGACTCGGCCTCCGCCACGCAGCAAACCCGAATAAGAAAGAGCCCGGCGCCGCGGGCCTCCCCGCGCCCCACACCGTGGAGCCTGGGCCCGGAGATCCGAGGCTGCGCGCAAGCTGGACCTCCGCGCTCTGGCTAAATAGAGATCTCAGCCGCGCGCTGCGCGGATCCGACCCTCCTTATTATAACAAATGTCCCGTTTGCCGAGCGGACTTCATATTCGCCAAGAATTCATCTGAAATATTATATTGATTTCCTCTCACTTGGCTGGCCCAAATCGATAGCGCTGCGCCCTGGCCCCATAAATCGCTTTCCCCGCGGCCGACCCGGCTCCATTCATCACCGCGGCCGGGCCGCGCCTCTGCCCGCTGTCCACACTTGCTGGGCGCCGAGAGGCCGTGCCCAGCGCGCCCATTAGCCTGATCCTAGAGCTCCTTCCGGACGAAGACCTGCACCCCCCAACTCTGCCCCGGGCTGGGCCAGGAGAAGGAGAGGGCAGGTGCCTCGGTCAGGGACTCAGAGCGCCTTTGAAGGCCCTGGGCCCAGGCGCCAGTGGGGAAGGGGTTCGGTCCCGCGGGCAATTCAGTCTTCGCAGGCCGAACCCGCCTGGCCAGTGCTCGACTGGAAGGAGTCCGAACCCCCGAGCTCACTCATGCCTCCCAGGCGGGGACCACGGGCTTCTTTTCCTCTGAGTTTAGAGGTGCTCAGGGCTCACAGTCCCGCCAAAAAGGCTTAGTGGTCGAGGCAATAGAGCGCAAGTCCAGCAGGTCCCGGCCCACTCTCACGGGCCATGCCAGCCAGGGGTGGGTGCGAACTACACCTCTCTGACCCCACCGAGAGCTCCTCGCCGCTCCTTGCGGTCCGCAGAAACCAAAGCCTGCGGAGGCAGTTCCGCCGGACCGAGGGAACCTCAGGGCCGGAGAGCTGTGGAGAGCTGCGACGCGGTTGCTGCAGAAAGCTAAGAAGCCAAGGCAACCCAGCTGCGTCCCCATGCTGGGTTCCGCAAGGCCGGCGCGCTCGACCCAAACCGGCAACCACGGACTCTGCGACCGGGAGTTCGGGGTTCAGGGTCTGACCACGCGCGTCCTTACCGGATCTGATGGAGTTACGAGGCTTCGAAGGATCGCTCGCGACCGGCGCGGGGCTCGGGGAGCCTGCACGCAGGTCCCTGCCGCATCCGCCGCACCGCGGCCCTGCAGACCCGGGGAAAGGGGCATGAGAGCATGTCTGCTGCCTTAGACCTCAGCCCAGGCCCTGCCCCCTGGCCTTCGTTGCCTTGTTGGAGTCCGAGGGTTTTAGGCGAAGTTTGGCCAACCTCAGCCTGGCCTTGCACACCCACGTGGGTCCCGAGGGCCCGGGATTGGGGATCTGCCACCGAAGTCCCAACTTCAAGCCCCGTGCTCACTTCTCTGCCCGCCCCGAGTCTCACCCAGTTTAACTCGGGAGGGAAAAGGCTTCGTGGGACCCTCTCTTTCTCGAACCAACCCTCTCCCTTGGTCAGCTTTCAGCCAGCCCTGCGCAGCATACCTGGCCGGCAGCCGCAGGCCCTCAGTGCCTGGGTCCGCCGCAAGGGTGCCCTGGGCCTGCCTTTCTCCTCGGTCCCAGGTTTGTTCCCATCCGCCAGGCATCGCCACCGCTTTTATCCCGCCAGGGCCCTGAGACAAGGGTCTGGAGAGGCTCGCAGCCCGCCGATTGGCTGGCTGGGTGCAGGGGAGTGCGGGAAGGGGAGGATTTTGCAAGGGGGACATGGCTGAGTGGACTCAGGAGTTAGAAACATTCTCTGGAGCTTCTGTTTCCAGCGGAGAGGAGAGGGAGGCAGCCGAGTCCGAACTCAACGGGCCTGGGAGTGTTCAAGGGTTGGGAGATGGAGACCCCAGGGCCTGACGATGAGGGTCTCTGTGCCCTCTGGGGGCCACTGGCCAGCAGAGGGGAGAGGCACAGCTGCTTTACAACATGCTGTCCTCTTCTCCTCACAGGCAAGGGGCCTTTCTCTCACGGGAGGGAACTTTTGTTTTGTAATTAACATAATTTATTTGTCAAGTACCGAACATACATACATTTCCTTCACTTCCATTGAATTTGACAAGTTAATTAGTATGACTAGTGAACAAAACCTAGACATCATTGTACATGAAATATTTCCTTATAATTCTTTTTTTTATTGTTGTTCAAGTACAGTTGTCTGCCTTTCTCCCCACCACTCACCCCTCCACCCCAGCCATCCCCACCTCCCTCCCCTGATTCCACCACCCCCCTTGAAAAAAAAACACAGGAGGGAACCTTTGTTTCTATCCCTGCTTCTTAAGGCTGAAGCTGCTCACCTGCTCACCACTGGTGTGGACTTCTTCCAGGGGGAACCCTGCAGAGCCCTTGAGCCCCTTCCCTCCTTACCACCAGGCAGGGCCCCCACACTCACACTACCAGGTTAGTGACAATGGTCACATAGCCAGCTTCACAAGGACCCCTCTCTGCCAACGCACACACAGCGCCAGCACTCTTTCTTGCTCCTCGGGGATTTTGAACTTGGGGGAAGAGTCCAGAGGACTGGCTGTGAGAGCCTAGATTCCACCTTGGTGTGGAAGGGTTAGGGTTAGGGTCGGACCACAGGGAGCAGCTGGAAGGACGCTGAGATGGAAGCGGGCCTCGCATGGCGTCGGTCCCACCACCAAGCGGCAACTGGCCCCCTGCTTCTGCAGGGCAGCGTGGGGCGTGCATTGTCCTGACCAGCCCCTGTCCCAGGAGTTCCGCAAACCTCAGAGGGCCGCCCACTGAGGGGCTGAGGGGCTGGGAGACACCAGCAGTGCTGGAACTCAGGCCTCCGTCTTGCTCATGCTCTTCTCTCCTCAACAAAACAAGCCTCTTCCTTCCCTGCCCCACCCCCCATTTTTGGCAAAAGGTCTCAAAGGACAAAAACCCAGCAAGTCATCAAAATGTTCTGTTCCTGTTCCATTTGTAAGCTCATCTTTAAAAAGTCATTTTAATATGAAAACTTAGTGTACAAAACCTACCTGCACTCACCTTGAGAGCAGCCCTTCCCCAGACTGCAGGTGGCAGGAGGAGGCAGCTGAGCAGAGAAGTCCTTCCGGCCCCACAGGCAGGAGGAACTCGGGGAGCCAGCTGCTCTGCTCCCGCCCTGCTTTCTGGTCTCAGTGGGGAACAGGCCTGGGCCTTTGCCTGTCCTAGTGCTCTTCAACCGAGGCCCAGAAAAGGGTTATTAACAGCACCCACCTGCTTGGGGCCAGCATCCTTGTCTGCAAAATGACGAGGTTGAGAGAGATATATAATATTATATATAAATATATATTTATATATACTTATATTATATATAAATATATATATATGGTGTGTGTGTGTGTATTCCTTTTATCATGCTTTTTTCCCTCAAACTTTAAAAAAATCCACAATTCTTGGTTAAGAATGAAAAAATCTCAAGCCTTCCTTTGATGTTACTTAACATTTTGAAATAAATTTAGCATCATGAGTAGGAGACTCTCAGATCAATGGGAAACTCAGAACACGCTTTTTAGAATCAACACCTTCTTCTTGGGCCCTTCTCTGACTCGGTGCCTGTGAGCCTCTCGTGCTGAGATTGTCGACCAGCAACCTGTGGTTTAAGCCTAGTTATAAGTTTTTAATCCAGTGTTTTTTCCAGAAAATTTATTTAGTTGTCAATATGAAACAAATAGAGAAGAGAAGTAACTCTGGCTTGCCTTTAAAATTTTGACAGATCTGGCCGCAGATCTGAGTGTTTCTGTGTGGAAGTGAATGTTCTTTGCAGGTTAACATTCGAAGAGTTTAATATCCGTCCCAGGCAACGAACAGCCTATGTCCAGTGAGTAGTCCGTGGTTTTCTGATTTTAGGTTCATCTGCTGAGCTTTCTAAAGATGGTCTTTTTTTCCGAGGCTCAGCTGAAATCCACTGAGCAGGTGGGAGGGGTTGTCAGGGGTGAGGCAGAGGGCGATTGTTCCCTGGACGTGGAAGTTGGGGTGCTAACACCAACTGTCCCAGGCAGACCAGGATGAGCTGGTCATCTAGCCGATGGAGCTGGGAAGCAGGTGGTTTGGGAAGCAGCTCGGGGTTTACACTGACTACGGGCGGTGTTCAACTGTGTAGCTGGAGTCCTGCCTCCTGACTCCGGCTGCCTGGCCCCTGAACTCCAGCATGGACCAGGTGCCCCAGGAGAGGCCAGCCTTGGGGGAGGGTTTCTGCCCCCAAGAACCCTTCTGGGTTACCTGCCCACACCGCACCACGTGGTGAGGACCTCCTGGGACTCCAGTGCACTCTCTGGGCAGGAGATGGCCACTCCTGCTTTGAGCTGGGAGGTGAGTGGCTGGGCCCTGGCTCCCTGGGTTGGGCCCTTGCCTTCCTCTGAGCCCCCTTTCCCTCTTCTTTAGGATGTGGGTGCAGGTAGGTGTGGCCAGGGCAGGCCTGTCCTAGCTTTGCTGTGAGATGAAAGGAATTGTGGATGCGGAAAGTGGTTTGAAAGCTGCAGCTCTGCACAAAGTTAATTATTATTAGAAAACAAAGGCAGGACAGCACTTCCAAAAGGGCAGAGTTAAAATTGCTCTCAAATTTTGCAGTAGAAGTCCGTTCCTTTAATCCTTTCCCCAACGCACTGTGAGTTTTTCCAAGAGCCACTGAGCCCCTGGGTGATGGACAGGTGATTTCCTGTGGGCAGGAAAGGGCCAGTGAGTGGGTGTAGGTGCAGGGTGGGTGTGGGGGCTGCATGGGGGCAGGGGTGTCTGTGAGGGGACCCAGAAAGAGGGAGCACAGCCGAAGGCAGAAGGGGCCCCACAAAGGCAGAGCCTCCAGGCGGCAGGGGTTTGCAGAGGGCAGAAGGGCTCAGGGCATGCTCTCCCCCCTGACCTGCCCAGTTGTGCCGCAGCCACACAGGATTTCCACTACGTCCCCACACCTCAGGAAATGTCCACAGCCTGCCCCCAGGTGGTCTGTTGGTGATGCCAGAGAATCAATCATTAATTATCCTCCCCTCCTCCCCTCAGGCTTTCAAAACCCAGAAATAGAAATACAGGTCCTGGCAGGTGAAAGGAAAGGGCCACTGGTTGTGGTGAAGCACTTTGGAAAAAGCCACTGGTGGCATTTGTCCAGTTGGTGTCAGGCTGGAGAGGTGTCCTGGGCACACCTCTCTTGAGCTCCTTGACTGCCTGCAGCACCCTGGTGGCTGCCACCTGGGCTGTAGGGTAGAGACTGCTGTTCCCAGGCTTGTGCAGGAGAGAGCCTCACTGGGGAGCAGGGAGGAAGGTGAGAGGAGAGGAAAGGGGTTATGTAGAGAGGGGATCAGTAATAGTAATAGTAACGCAGGTCAGTAATAGTTTCTATTTTTTTAAGTTACAGATGATGAGCTAGGTCCTTTTGCAACTTATTTTGCAGATGGGAAAACAGAGCCCCAGGAAAATAAATACAGTGTCCAAAGTTCTCAGCTGGTGGGTGGGTGACTCAAAGTCCTAATGAGCACTGGTGACCCAGGCCTTAAGTGTTGGGCATTCCACTCTCCCAGCCTAATCCCTCCCTCCCCTGCACCCACACCCCTCCCTTCAGGAAGAAGGTTCTGGAACCCAGGGAGTGGCCAGGGTGAGGTCAGACCCTGGTGGCTAGAACACTTCTGTGCACCAGGAGAGCGGTGCAGCTCACTCACTCTGCAGGAATGCCTCCCCTCAGCCCAGCCCCTGCCTCCAGCCCCCTGGGGCCAGACTCAGGGACCCTCCCTGGCCAACTCAGGGCACCTGAGTGGGCTGCCTTCCCGACAGCTGTTCTTGGGGAGGCGCCAAGGAAAAACCTAGGCACAGGGCTCTTCGCCAGACTCAGGGCCGGCTTTGTTCTCCGTGGCCTTGGAATGCCAGAGGTCCCTGCTCTTGGCACAAACCCCAGATTAGAGCCTGCTCTCCCCTGACCCTGGGCAGTGCCCAAGGGCCTGAGGAAGGGACGGGGACCCTGGAGGCTGGGAAGTGGGACTGGCTGCCTGCCCCGGAAGGAAGGCTCCGCATCTGAGCACGGATCCTGGCCTAGGCTGCCTCCCAGTGAGACGTCTTGCCTTCTGCTGCAGACAGAGAGCCCCACCCCCTGCACCTGCAGGAGCAGCCCTGAGGGTTTAGGGCCTTGTGCCCATGTTTTGTCTCTGGGCCCCATACCCAGCGACAGGGCCACCCTTGGGGCCACAGGGCCCACATCTGGGGACAGACATGCCCTCGTCCTGAGGCAATGCTGCGCATGGTGCTCATTTCCTTCCAACAACAACAGCCATCTCTACTATTATTTACTAAGTATTATTAAATGCCAGGTACTGTGGAGTGCCTTAAGTATAACCCCATTTATTTTCCACGACACCCAGTGAGGCTGAGTTTGAGGCAAGCAGCGCATAGAGGTTGCTCTGGGCCAGTCTGGTGCCAGCAGAGTTGGGTTCGAACCCAGGCTCATCTGGACCCCGAGCCAGCATTCTCTCTGTGCTCAGAGGGTGTTTCCAGGGCCCAGACGTAGTAATAGCTCCAGGAAAGCCACTGGAGAGGGGGAGAACTGAGCCTGTGGGCTCCGTGGATGCCCAGAGCACAGGGCCCCGGCGGGCCTGGGAGCTGCGTCCTCAGGCCACTCCCTGCGCAGGGGTGCACACTCGCCCGGC